AAATGCATTTGTTACTATTGTTCAATTATTGTTGATATTTAGTCACTGGCTAGAATAAAGATTATTTAGTTATCTGTTAACAATGACTAATGATGTTATCCCAAATCTTCTTTTTAGAACACTTTATTATCCTCTTCATTCTTGGATGTGAACATTACTTAGCCACGTATCTGTAACCTACCATGGATTATAAATTTATAATTCCCTGCTCTGAGGAGACGAACACTACAATTGTTAGTGACACCAGTGGTAGGGAATTAACAGTTCTCTTAAGCATTGTAATACCCCTTCATTGACGTCACCGAAAGTGATGGTGATCTCTTAACTGACATCATTGAGAGAACACTAAAAAAATAGTATTGATGTGCTAAGTTTATATGCTAAACATTTTAAAGTCAAAATTATAGGAGAGGGTAATTTTATAGAACACCAAAAGTAGAACAAGAACAATTGCTAAAGAATGATGAACAGAAAGGAAAAAGGTATTATGCTTTCAAGAGAGTTCTTAATACATTTAAAAGTAAATGTTGTGATTTACTACAAGCCTGTAGTATTTTCGTACATTTATTCCAATTCCACATCATATTTAACCAACTGATATTAGTGAAAAGAAAAGATGACTGATAACTCAGGATTACTGATCTTCAAAGGGAGGGGGGAGTTTGGTGTCATATGATATCATAAGAAATTAGTTTCAATTGTTCTCTTTTTATAGAATTAATGTTTATAATATTCACTAAGCTGAGAGTTACTTGTGATCCTCTCCATTCTCAACTGACTTGATTTAAAACATAGTGGTTAATACAACAGGTTTTGGCATCAGATTAGTGTGGTTTTATTCCCTTGAAAAGTTAGTATTTATTGAGAATCTCCTAGGTCTTCCAAGCATCAGAAAACCAGCAACAACCAAAAGAGACAAGGTTCTTGTTCTTGTGAAACCTACATTGTACTGGGGGAAGTAGATAGCTTAAAAATAAACTCAGCAAATAAACATGCAAGATAACATTGGACAGATAAATGCTCTGAAAAAAGGGAGGGGCAATATAGTAGTGATTTGCTGGGGTTGATGGCTTTACTATTTTATATGGAGATCAGAAAAGGCTTCTTTGAGGATGTGGCATTGGAACAACAACCAGGATGAAGAAAGGAAGCCAGGAATGAAAATATCTAAATATCCCAACTTCCTGCAGTTTCCCATCCGTAAAATAAGGAACAAGGCTGCTTTGATGAAGAAATGTGTAAATGAATGAAAAGCACTTAGCACTGACCTAGTGAGTGCGTGAAGCTGTCTCTCTGGCTGGCTGTTCTTAGGCATGAAAGTCTAAAGCAGGGTTAGCTTTTAATCTTGTTAACAGCAAAGTAAGTTACCAAGTTACCTCATATGTGCTAGGTTAAACTTACTCTCTTGTCTGTTGATGTCATTTCACAATCGGATCCTTTGGATTGCCCTATATCTGGGGATCTATAAATATGGTTGTAGTCACTATCCATCTATGTCTAAATTAGCTGGGCAAATAGAAAAATACTTACATGGGCAAATCCACATTTAATGCATCTGAAGATTGATTCCAGTGTTAACATAATATTCTGCATTTTAAAATTAGCAATTTAACCAGAAGTCCCCAGAGACTGTGGCCTTGTCTTGTCAATGCCACTAGTTTGGCTACACAGTTAATTCCATCAGAGCCACTGAACCAAGTGTAAGTGTGTAAAGAGAGTCCATGAGTCAATTGCCAATACAGAATTCTCCCTGACTTAGGAAGACAGATGATCTCAACTTTTGAGTGCATATAGTGCAGATTTCTAGTTGAATGGTTCTTGACAATAGTGTCCTCTGAAACATAATGCCTGGCCAGGAGCCAATGATTATGCCACCATACGAATCACTGTGCATCTGATGCCAGAATGCCTTTTTGCAATGGTAACAACAAGAGTTCTCAGTCCTGGTGTTCCACAAGATGTTGCTTTGGCTCTTTTATTCTTTATCAGACCCTGAAGTTAAAGATTTTATTTAGAAGGTTTTCAGGATATAAGTGGTGATAGATGGAGAGAAACAGTTTTGCTGTTTTACATTTCCCATTAGGACAAAATCAGCCTATGTTTTGAAACCTAGTTTTATTAATTGTCTGATAGATATTTTTGCTTTAAATTTCTTGTATAATTATAGAACTAAAATAGCTTGGTTCAAACTGTTAGCTAATGATCCATACATCACTTTAGTAATTACTAGCTTCTTTCAAAAAATGCATTAATTTTGTCAGAATGTATAGACTTTCAAATGTGAAAACATAGGGAGTACTTTTAAGATTAATAAATTAGAACACACAAAATTTGTTCCAAATGTTATTTTACTGTAACATATTATAAACCTAAAAGTAGTAAAACATTCATAAGATTATAATCCTCCATTTTAATGTATATATAATTGTCTTTTTAAGGATTAAAAGTAGATAGATCATACTGTATAATCACAATTGGGATATAAATGAACATTCTGTTATGCAGAGTGTTACTGTTCAGTAGGAATTATGCACCAGTTAAAATATCTAGCCAAATATCATCTCCAACTATGAAATTGTCTGCTAATTTTAAATACCAACTTCTTCTGGAAGTAACTCTTTAGAGGATTTTCACATTAAATAAGTAGATCTAAGTATCTTACTTGATAAAAAGAGTAATTGCTTAAGATGAAGGAACACACAATATCCTAAATATTACTTACAAAAGTGTAATACAACAAAAGTAATATTTTTCCCAAAGAAACCTAAGTTGCCAGTGTTTCTTCTTTTTTTGCTGGCCTCTCAATTAGAAAAAAAAGTTTTCTTTCCTTATTAACTAGATATAAGCATTAGCCATTTGTAAAAACTGTATGGTCTCTTTTACATATGGGTAGCAATTCATCGAAGAAAAGAAGATAATTTTAAAGGATTTTTTGTGGTTTGAAAATGACTTCCAAATATTCATTAAAGATTTAAGTGAGTAAATTTGTAGAATATGTTTCTGACATTGGCACTGGTTCTGTGGTATTTCTCTGATCAGATGGAAGTGCTATGTGTAATGCAGAGTGCATGCAGTTCATTCATGCATAAACAATATCATTTTCATAAATTAAAACCTCCCCTGCAGAAGGAACATCTGTGCCTGCATTTGAATAAAAGATGGTGGCATGTGAGTTACTCCTTGACTGACTGAAAGAATCCCTATGTTTTACAATGAAGTCGTATAGGGAAAATGAAAAAAAAATCAAACTTAACTTTTAGTCTTTATTTCTACCTTACAAAAAAGTCCCCAGTCAAGATTTCCATGCTTGCTGTCTTAAAAGCTGGAATTCTTGAAATGTCATTCTCTTATTATTTTTTTCTGTTCACTACTGCAACAATTTTTAGTTTGCATGAAGATGTCTGATTTTAATTACAGCTGCTTAATAGATCAGATCCGATCTGAATGTTCACTTCATGGTCTCCTATGCTGGAAGGCTGGCACTGTTCAAATATCATATCAGTATTATGTCTCTTAAAGTAAGAACAGTGAGAACAATCAGGGATATAGGAAGCAACAGCTTGATTCCAAAATAACAACTCTGATTCACTTGGAATGAGATTGCTGCATTTTGGATAAAGTTGGATCTAAGTTAAAAGTATTTCTGTCATGTGATGAAGGTTGATGGAAAACATGTTAAAATGATATATTTTAAATTGCACTCAAACATTTTTTTGATGTTGAAATATTCCTTACTGTTGCTGTCACAGCTTGATACAGCCCCATTGGCAATGTTATTAGTATAGCTAATTGTTCCTGTCCATTAGATTACTCACATTTTTCTGGAGCAGGTTGCTAAATGAGGTCAGCTTTCTGGAACCCCTAAATCACCAATGAGAAGGAGATTAAAGGAACAAGCTTAGGAAGGGGGGTAGTCGTCCAATGTGGCATCCAAATCAGAGGAGGAACAATGGAGTTACTAATGACAGTAATCAGAGCACCACAGTAGAGCCAGGGTACAAGTGCCAAAATGTTATTCCCTAGGAATTGTGACTGTCAGTCAATACATCCAGAGGAAGAGAAATGCCAAACTTATTTTTTAAGTGGCCTGAACAATGGACAGAATCATCTGTAAGTTTTCAAAGTGAGTTATAGTTCCTCAAAGAGGAAAGGGAAACAATTAGACCTTCCTAAAATATATTATAGTACAAATAGTGTGTTCTTAAGTACAAAGAGTTCATTACTCTTCTTTCTGTAAAAACAGTTGAGCTCATCATAAGTTGTTTATAGAACAATTATAAAATGCTACTTGGATTCTTTAATTTAATCATTTCTTTCTGGTGTTTTCTAAAAGTATACATTTTTCTCTTTGGGATAGTACTGGTTTGGAAGAGAGAATTATTCAGTCCAGGAAAATGTACAGGTAACTGAGCATTAAGAAAATGGTAAAGTTTTAACATGTTTTAATTACTTTCTGGTGTTTTCTAAAAGTATACATTTTTCTCTTTGGGATAGTACTGGTTTGGAAGAGAGAATTATTCAGTTCAGGAAAATGTACAGGTAACTGAGCATTAAGAAAATGGTAAAGTTTTAACATGTTTTAATTATGTAGATAAATTAGGGTAGGGAACTTATTTATGTCTTGCTTGTTAATAATTAACTAAATCCACCCTTTTAAAAAACAGAAGAAAACATGTGATACAATCATTTAAATAAATGAGAATAAAAAGCTTAAAGGTGAAGCCACTTACAAACAAACAGACAAACAAACAAAACCACGTTTGTCTCACCCCACAAGCCGCATATTCCAAATAAAGAGATAGTTCCTTTCATTAGCTAAAAGGAATCAGTGATTCCCTAAGCAAAATAGACTAGAGAATATGCCAAAGTAAACTTTTCTTTCTTTTCTTTTGTTCTATAAACAGTGTTTAGTTCTTTTTAAACTCAGCAAATAAAGCAACTAGTCCCCCCAGGAATAATTTATACTTAAAAAAAATCACTTTTAAAAAATGCAACATTGCTTTGATTTTCAATACTATTTTTATTGCGACTGGATGAATGTTTTCTAAATTGTGCATTACACCATAATATACAGTATTACAAACAAGATTACAGTACAGGTCGATTCCAGTGGTACCAGCATCACATCTCAAACAGCACTTATTCTGGACTGCATTTTACATGCAATAGCTATTGTTCTAATTATGAATTAAATGGTTTTAATTTATGTAAGCTACTGTACTAATTGACTACAACAGGTATAAATCCCAACATTAATAATCTGATTAGATTTAGGCTCAGATTTATTACATGAATATATGAAAAACCACCATTTGGGTGACTATATATAAAATCATGCATTTATATTTTCTGGAAACATTAAAAGCTTCAGATTCTTTGTAAAATCGTGGAATGCAAAGGAATAAGAGACTAAAAAGAAACAGTGCAAATTGTATGTGATAGTCAAGCAGCTTTTGATTTAAAGAAGGGTATGTTGGCATTTATTTATAATATGTATATACAAGCTTGTGCAAGTAATGAATTGATATGTTTTGATAGGAAATGCATCTCTTGATTTTTCTTATCATCTTGAGATTTTGAGAGTTATGGATCTGGTTTTTATTTTAGGGAGAGGGAAAGACTTTAAAGTGAAATGAATTGCTCAAATTGTGCATTTTTTTTCTTTTTTTACAATTAGAGAGGAAAGAAGTGCTAAGGCAACACAATAACTTTCTAAGCACTTTTCTGCTGGTTTAAATTAGTTAAATTATTTTGTATAAATTAGATATAATTCTACTTTTCTGATATGTATAAAAATTGATGAAGCTGCATGGTTTTAAAATAGGAAATCCACATTATAAAAAGTCATTAAAAATTCTGTACAAAATCACAACAAAATAATTCAGCATGGGAAAGGTAACAAGTAGTAAAATGCTGGTTGAAAAATATATATTTATATATATTTTAATTGGCCCATTACTAGTTTAAAAATTGCATAGATCCTAATTATTGCTTGTGATTTTGTTATCCCGATCAGATAATTAATATGATCTGAATACAGACAGCTACACCAAATTCGTGGTGCATTTACTTTTACTTTACTGTATTATTTTTTTAAAATAGAAGAGCTATAGAAAATAATACATAAGGTGAACAGGAACTTTGATCCCCTGTTTCTTCCAAAGGCAGTAACGACAATAAATACATATATCACTTGAAGCTTGGAATATTTGCACTTTGCAGCAGTAGTACCCAAAGGGCTGCCTTTTGTAAACACGACAGTTACTGTAAGCACAGTGGGTTCGTTTCCCGGGGAATGATGAAACTGACGTGCCTCTAATCGTGAAAGATGGCATTGAGCTGGGCACTCATGACTCTCTCATGATGTGAATGGCTATCGAAGGACATAATATTGTCTATGGGGACCTCGCAGCGAGGAGCAGTGGTGCCCGAGAAGATTGATCCGTGGCCTTGGGCCCCTGCCAGGGTCGCTGCGGGATAGTGCATGGTAAAGGCATAATTTTTTTCAAATTCGGCGGACGGTTCGTGTTTGAAAGAGAAGTTGCCATTGATGCTGAGCGGCGGGCTGAGAGGTCCATCAAAGGAAGGACTGGTGCAATCAGTCAGGGGGCTTTCAAAGAAAGGCTCCAGCGCTGCGCTGTAGGCATGCGGCGGCGGCTTGACGTGGAAGACGTGGGAGCTGTCCATGGTACCGTACGGCGGGCTGGGCAACCCCGGCGACTGGTAGGAGTAGGGGTGCACAGGGAAGGAAGCGCTGGCCGTCGGCAGGTGTGGGGGCATGTCTTGGTTCTGCTCAGGCAGAAAAGTCCGAGGGTTGAGCTGCAGGCAGCCTGCAACGAGGTTGGTGGTGGGCTGGGATAAGCCCTTGCAGAGCGTCTGTACGAAGGAGACCAGGTCGGGGCTTTTGCCTGAGCGCAGGATCTCCGACAGAGCCCAGATGTAGTTCTTGGCCAAGCGTAGCGTCTCGATTTTGGACAGCTTCTGAGTCTTGGAGTAGCAGGGCACCACCTTGCGCAGGTTGTCCAGCGCTGCGTTCAGCCCGTGCATGCGGTTCCGCTCCCGGGCGTTGGCCTTCATGCGCCTCAGTTTAAAACGCTCCAGGCGCGCCTTGGTCATCTTCTTCTTCTTGGGGCCACGTCTCTTGGGCTTCTGATCATCTTCCTCCTCTTCTTCCTCCTCCTCCTCTTCCAGGTCCTCGTCTTCGTCCTCCTCCTCTCCCCCGTTCCTCAGTGAATCCTCCTCGGCGTTCATGGCTTCGAGGTCGTCCTCCTTCTTGTCTGCCTCGTGCTCCTCGTCCTGAGAACTGAGACACTCGTCCGTCCAGCTTGGAGGACCTTGGGGCTGAGGGTCGCCTATCAGTCCGCTCTCGCTGTACGATTTGGTCATGTTTCGGTTTCCTACATTCAACAGGGGAGAGAGGCAAACAGAAAGAAAAGGAGAAAAACGCTATATTCAAAAGCTGGATAAGGCTTCAGCTCCCACTCGCTCGCCCTGTACAAATGCAAGTGAAGAGAAGTACGCATTCATTACAAGATGGATGCCTTAGGAAAAGTTGGATTTAGTGTTTTACGATGGCGTGTGTGTGTCCCGCTGGTACGTAGGAGAGAGGACAGGCTGGGCTGGGGGTGGGACGCAGGGACTCTGTGTATGTACACCACTCACGCATGTGTGTGTGTTTCCTAGTGATTAACTTAAATGTGTTCACGGTGATTGCCCAGCAGGATAACGTGTGTGGAAATGAGTGTACACTTCAGCGACTTCATGTTTATCTGCATGTGTTTAAAGTCTCACAACTCCACAAAAATGATGAGTTTGAAAATCGCACATTCTGTCTATCTCTGTTCTGGCTTCTCAGTACTTAGCGATTTAAGTTGAAAAGCCCTTATGTAATTTACTAACCCTGGCAGTGATTTTTAAGAAGATTAGACCGACGGGAGATTGAAGAGCAAATTCATAGAAGAGGAAAAGTAGTTTCCACCAAATTATTTCACCATTAAAGAAACATTTGGCAACAACAGTGGGCAGGGGTCTTCCCTCCCTCTGTCGTCTTTCTTTTCTCGCCTCCCCTTCCTCGCCCTCCGCGGAATTTCCACCTTGTACAAAAGCGTTCTCTAGATAGCTGGGGCTGGGGCCGGCGCAGAGCGCTCTCCCACGCGCCGGGGATCAGGTGCGGAAGGCTCCTCTCTAATAAACAGCCCATTGAAAGAGCGGCCCACTCTTTATTGGGGCTTTTCAAAGTTCACCTCGAACCTCCCTTTAAAAGACTGAATAATTATAATGGTCAGCGATTGGCAATGGCGAAGTTGCCGCTTTTAATAAGGAAAATAAAAAGCCTTAAGTATTAAACAACTGAATTTCTGGCTCCGGCAGTGGCTGCTGGGGGCCTGGCCACCTCTTGAGCGGTAACAGGTAGCAGGAGTGGGTCCCTCTCCCCTTCGCCACTTTTTCCCCCTTCTTAACTGAACTATCTCTGAACTCGAATTATTTTCCAGGGTGTGTATACTCTAGGTATTCACATCCCTTTTACTCACTGAAAGAATAGCTTGATATTCCCAATGTACATAGAATACATGCACACAAAAATAAATCCTGGTATTAGGGGCTTTTATTTCCTTCCTCTTACTTTAAAAAATAAAAAAGGAAGGCAATTTCTTTTAGGACTTTAAAATCGCCAGTAGCAAATAACTATAGTTACTGTGCATGTTTTAAAAAAATCCAAGAAGCCCCTATACTATCCATAAATATATATATACCTGTTAATTTTTTTTTTTTCAATTAGAAAGCCTGCACGGGGTACTTGAGTGACACGACTTATTAGTACTTGTCGGCAATTATGGGGAGGGATTCTCGTCTCAACAAACATCCATACGCTCGCAAAGCTCACATACAGAATATGTGGGTACATCAGGTCTGCAAATTACTCCTTTTATTCCCGAGCAAAAAACGAAAGGATTGTAATTACCTGATGTTGTTAGTAGCTCCTGAGCAACGATGGTCTCATAACCCTGGGGCCTCCAGATGCCGTGCCTTCTGCGTGGGCGAATTCCTCGTGTCCCGGCCGCGCGGACGCTCAGGTTATATAGCCCAGTTAGTGATGCTAAGCGCGGGCGGGGCCGCGAGCTGAGCCGCTAGCAGGTCCCTGCGCCCTGCGCCTGCGCACGCGTCTAGGCTGCGCGCTCCCTGTCCCCCTCCCCCCGCCCCCTCTGCCTTGCTCTTCTCCCACCCTCCTCCGACTACCGCTCCCCTCACCCGCCACCCCTACGCCCGCCCCTTCTCCTTCCTCCCCGGCATGCGCCATATGGTCTTCCCGGTCCAGCCAAGAGCCGGGAACCACGTGACCTGCCCATTTGTATGCGGCGGAGCGCTCCATTCCGGCCCCTTTGTGGCCAGAAGAAAGTGGCCCATCTGTCGCCAGTTAGAGACTCCGCGGACCTGTTTTTACCCGCAGGAGAGATTAACCCTTTCAGGCGGCAGAAGGCAGAGGGGGCAGAGGGGAGAGGGGATTTGCGGGAATGGAGCGGGAAAGCTAACGACGACTGGGTCTAGGGCAGAGAAAGTGGCCTGCGTTCGGGCGGGAAGTGGGGCAGGGGTGAAAGAGACCGAAGCGAGGAGACTGAGGCGTGCACTGAACGGTCTTCCCTTCTTTGGATTCCTTGTTCCGGCCCTGGTCTCCGGGGCAGCATGACTCCCTGCCCTCTCTGAGAGGCCTATGTCTTGGCAGACGCTTTGCTCATTGGCGTCAAAGGGTGGCTTCTTCTAATCTCCATCAGCCTCTCTAAGCAAACATATACGCCATGTAAAAACGACTTCATCTGTAAACGCAGCGTTGAGTCTAGTTCCCTAGCCTACCTAACTGGACCGCCCGCTCCCAGAACCCCCAGTGTAGAAATGTTGTACCTGCCACTCACTCCACCATACGTGCAGCTTCGTGAGCCTTGACCCTCAGCTACCCCCGTCCCTGGAGATCCCTCACTGTGTCGATCCCCACCTTGCTCCCAGGGTCTTGTCCGCAAAGCGAGCTAACTCGTTCCTTTAGGCCTTGGCCTCTGTGTTCTCTTGCTTGGGAGCTGGGGGCTTCTCTGACGTTTGGATTCTGCCTTTTAACCAAGGCCACTGGATTCTTGCAAAGGGTGCTCTCACCCAGCCAGTCCTGGGGAAGTGGTTCCCGGGACAGTGCGCTCTCTAGCCCAGACGCGGACCAGGATCGTGGTGGAGAACACCCTGCTACAGCCTGCCCTGAGCCCTTGGTCCCTACTCTGGGGCCTGTAAATCGGTACTTGGTTCAGACGAGCTTTCTCAAAAAGAAGATGGAACGGGCCTGTGTGGAACGCGTCTTTTCGCTCTCTTTCTAGAAAGGCTATTAGCACAACCCCAGAAGGACTGATGGCCACGACTCCTTCAGGCCTCACACCCTCTGATTTGACGCGACCTCCACCTGGCGGATCCAGCAAAGACCACAGAGCTTCCGGATCAATTCTGAAGAAGCCACATTTGTACCTAAATAGCGATTCTTTCTTTACTTTTTCAGAACACGGCCTGTTCCAGAATGATGCATTTTTAAAAAGAGAAAGAAGAAATAAGCTGGCCTGTTCCCTTCCCTGTCTACTCTTTCTCCCCCAGCTTCGACTTTAACCCTTCATTAGCTAACTCTTTAGCCGCCCCCCCCCCCGACCTAAAGCCCTTTGCAGTGAAAGTATTCTACTTGAATTGCTTATTTAAAGTCAATTGACCTAAACATCCCTGGAATTTGCAGACAGTATCAAGGTTGAACGGCTGGAGTGAGATGCATCTGGGAGAGCTGGGGTGAGGGAAGAGGGTCCTAACCAGATCGAAGGTGTCCGGAAGACGGCGGGTTCAGACTTCCCGGTCCCGCGCAAATCCGAAAAGGGAAGAAAGGAGTTGCGCGACAATGCATCTGGGAGAGCTGGGGTGAGGGAAGAGGGTCCTAACCAGATCGAAGGTGTCCGGAAGGCGGCGGGTTCAGACTTCCCGGTCCCGCGCAAATCCGAAAAGGGAAGAAAGGAGTTGCGCGACCCGAGCCGCGGCCCGAAGCGTGGTGTGAGTCGTTCCGAGGTTCCGGAGCAGAACCGTAGGGAGTTTTGCTTTTCTGTGTTCACTCGTCGGCTGACAAAGAGCACAGAGTAATTCGCCGGGGAGCCTGGTCCCAGTATTTACCCCTGTACCATCTGTGTCTTCAGTGCTGGGTTAAAACTCAAGGGTCGGTCGCAGTACCAGGCTGGTCCACAACCCGTTGGTCCAGGCTAAGTGCCGCCACTCTCCTGGAAGCCGTCCGAACTAGCATACAGTGCCGTAGGGACGTGGAACTCGTGCCCGGGCTCTCATTTCTCCATCTTTGGGGAGCTCCAGAGGAAACGTTGAGGGTGGGGGTGGGAGAGAGGACTCCAGCTACCCCAAAGGCCCCTTAAAGATCCCTCTGCTAACCCCCCACCCCAACCCCAGGGAAGCGGAAACTTCCCCAATTTGCGACATCCTGTGGAATACAGAATATTGGTGGAGCCAGATGTTTGGGGACAAGAAGGAAGCCCGGGTGATTCGCCAGATGAGACTGAAATGCGTAAAGTGCGGGAATTATTAGACTCGTTTCCTCCCGCACCCGCCCCCCCCAAATCAATCTCTAATTCCACTGTGCGTCGTTCGCTCAGTCCTGGGGATTTGTACAAAGGAAAGGGCACTGCGAGATGTTCCAGAGACCTGGCTGAGGTTCGGTCTCACCGTGGCTCTCACTGAGCTTCCCAGCCCGCCGCATTCAGATGTGGACCCGCCTCCGCGTGGAGAACGTTGACACAGCAGCGCTCCCCAAGTGCCCGCGGGGCCCCGGGGAAGCGGCGGCCAGGTAGTAAGGCCTGGAAGGGAGGAACCCAGACATGGCCTCGACTGAGGCGCTTTTGGGGGACGGGGGGGAGCGGCAAGAAAGTGTGCGAAGACAGAGGCGGCTCAGAGCTGAGGCCGCGGCCCCGCCCCTCCTCCCTATTTTCTTCTCTTTGGACTTGTTTGGACGGTTGCACACTTTCCCCGTCCTGATTCCCTAAGTTCCCTCCCCGTCCCCCCGCTCCCCCTCTGCTGGTTAGCTGTACTCCCCCAGCTCCCGTCCCCACCGGGCTCTGCAGGCCGCCGAGCGGCACGCGAACCGCACGCGCGGGCAACAAAAGCCGCTTTCATGATTCACTGCCCTCGAGCAATGCCCCAAATCTGCTGCCCCCCGGGTCCCTGCTCGGAGAGCTCGACGCGGGCCGGGCGTCCCGGCCGTTACAGTGGCAGCAGGAGCGCCCGCGGGAAGGGGGGCGGGAGGAGGCGTGTGGCCCTGGTTGCGGAGAGGCGACTGTGTCCTGGGCGGGGCGGAGGGGAAAGGAGGGCGGCGTGTGGAGGGGTGGG